TGATTTCTCCCATCCATGATGGCTATGAGGGCTGGACTAGAAGCAGGCCTTGTGCTTTGTGGGGGAGCTATTTCCAAGACTCTTGGGCTCAAGGTCTTGGTCTGTCTCTAACAGGGTCTGTGGGAAGATGACAGTCAAGGGAGTGGTGGTGGATTGACCTGCCAGGAGCATGCTGCCTCATTTTGAACTTTCACAACAATCCTATGGGGTTGCTTTAGGCATGATTATCCCCATTTTACAGGAGGAGCCTGAATCTCAGAGAAGACGAGTGGCCTGCTTATGGTCACACAACCAGCATGTCCAAGTCAGGTGAGGTGATTCTAATGAGTCATACATAGCATGGCCTCTACCAGGGACAAACTTGGGTGTTAACCACTGTTGATCTCACGGACTCCATGGTCGTTCTCTAGGGACATGGACTTTTCTTCAGATAGATCCGGAACAGGCAGCATTAGGAATATTTCAGGGAAAAGGCAGAGAAGCATGGGATTTTTCTGTCCTCCTCTCTTAGGCGATGTCCTACTGCACACGATGACCCGAGCATGAAGGACACACCTGCGTGTGTCCCTTACCTGCTGTGAGGGAGGTTGGAGCGTAGCAAAGACAACCCCCCTACTTCACAGTCTTCCTGTGGGTCAGCCCTGATGCTGGCAGACTGTGGCTCCTGCCAAGTTCTAGGTATTTGCAGGGTTTCTCAGCAGTGAGACAGAAACATTAAAATGACACCTGGGTAAACGACAAGAGTAGAATGACGGCGATAAGGAACAGGGACAGGTTGCAAAACCAGACTTCCCAGAAAACTAATTTGCTATTTGAGCTTTAAAAAAACCCAAAGAAACCAACAAAAAAACCTTGCAATAGTTTTCATTTATCAGAATGTATACAAACGATAAAGAAATTCAGAAGGCATTTCAAAATAAATTAAAATTCATTTCCTGAGTGTTCCGAGGAGAGAACAGGGTCATTATAAGCTAGTAACAAAGTAAATCAACATAATGTCCATTCCATGCTCAATTTCTACCTTAGACACTTATCAACTCTGTGACCCTGGGTAAGTCACTTGACTTTTCTGAGCCTCAGTTTCCTCATCTGTAAAATGGGGATAAAGTTGTGACCATCAATTGCGACAACATAGAAAGTGCTTTGCAAACCTTGAAGTACTATATAACGGCTAGCTATTAATGTTGTTAGTATTGTTGATTTTTCTAGGGTTCTCCAAGTATATCGTCATATCATCTACAAAAAAGTGATAGTTTTATTTCCTTCCTGACTATTCTAATTCTTTAAATTTTTTGGGGGCCTAAACAGTGGGGTTAAGTGATTTGCTAAGCTAGTAAGTATCAAGTGTCTGAGGCTGGATTTGAACTCAGGTCCTCCTGACTCCAAGACTAGAGCTCCATCTATTGCGCCACCTAGCTGCCTCAATTTCTTTTTCTTGTCTCATTGCTATAGCTAACATCTCTAGTATAATATTGAATAATAATGATGACAATGGACATCCTTGTTTTTACTCCTTCTCTTGCTGAAAAGGCTGTTAGTGAATCTCCTTTACAGATAAGGGCTTATTCTTGGTTTTTTATAATAAGAATGAGTGTTGTATTTTGTGAAAAGCTTTTCCTGCATCCATTAATATGATCATGATTTTTGTTGTTTTTGTTATTGATGTGGTTGATGATGCTTATAGTTTTCCAAATATTGAACCAACCCTGCAATTCTGGTATAACTCCCACCTGGTCACGGTGCCATGATCTTCATGATACATTGCTGTAACCTCCTTGCTGGTATTTTATTTAAAACATTTTGCTTCGATATTCATTAGGGATGTTGGTTTATACTTTTCTTTTTCTGTTTTTGCTTTCCCTGGTTTAGATAGCAAAACAATATTTGTGTCATATGAGGAATTTGGTAAAACTCCTTTATTTTTTAGCCTATTATTAAAAATAGTTTGTATGGTATTAGAATTAATTGTTCTTTAAATGTTTTGGTAGAATTTTCTTGTAAGCCTATAGTCCTCTCTTGTAGTTTTTTTCCTCAGGGAGCTCATTTATGACTTGTTAAATTTCTTTTTCTAGAATAGGGTTAAGTATTCTATTTCCTCTTCTCTTAATCTGGATAGTCCATACATTTGTAAACATTCATTTCACTTAGATGATCAGTTTTGTTGGCATAAAGTTGGACAAAATATATACTGATAATTCATTAATTTCATCTTCGTTGGTTATCCATTCACCCTTTTATACTAGTCATTTGGTTTTCTTTTCTGTTTTTAAATCAGATTAGCCAATGACATCTATTTTGTTGTTCCCCCTCTCCCCATAAAACAACTCTTAGTTTTATTTACCAGTTCAATGATTTTTTTTACTTTAAATTTTGCTAATCTCTTTTTTTTGATTTTTAAGATTTATATTTTGGTGTTTAATTGGGGATTTTTAATTTATGCTTTTTCTAGATTTATTTTAGTTGCATGCTTAATTTGTTGATCTGCTCTTTCTCTCTTTTATTGATATGTAGATTTAGAGATATAAATTTGCTTTGGCTGCATCCCACAAATTTTAATATGTTGTCATCTTTAATAAAATTATTGGTTATTTCTATGATTTGTTCTTTGACCCACTCATTCTGTAGGATTAGATTATTTAGTTTGAAATTAATTTTTATTTATTTTTTTTGGTGAGGCAATTGGGGTTAAGTGACTTGCCCAGAGTCACACAGCTAGTAAGTGTTATGTGTCCAAGGCCAGATTTGAACTCAGGTCCTCCTGACTCAAGGGCCAGTGCTCTATCCACTGCACTGCACCATATAGCTGCCCCTTCCAATTAACTTTTATTTTGTGCTTTAAAGACTCTTTATTGAATATATTTTTTATTGCACTACAGTCTGAAAAGAGTGCATTTAACATTTCTGCTTTTCTGTATTTGTTTGTGAAGTTTTTATACCTTAATATATGGTCAGTTTTCATGAAGGTACCATGCAGAGCTGAGAAATAGGTATACCTTTCTATTCCCATTCAATATTCTCCAGAGGGCTATCCCATCTGACTTTTCTAAAATTCTGTTCATCTCCTTACCATATTTTTTGTTTGTTTTATGATTAGATTAATTTAGGTCTGAAAAGAGTAAATTGAGGTCCTCCCAATAACATAGTTTTACTGTCTTGTTTCCTCCTGTAACTTACCTAACTTTTCCTCCAAGAATTTAGTGCTTTGCTATTTAATGCATATATGTTCATTAGTGATGTTAATTCATTGTCCATTTTAGCAAAATGTAATTTCCCTTAATATCTCTTTTAATTATAATTATTTTTGCCTTTGTTTTGTCTGAGATCATGATTGCTCCCCCCCCTTTTTTTTTAATAGATTCTACTCCAGCCCACTTATTTTAACTCTGTATATCTCTTTCTGTTTCAAGTGTTTCTCTTGTAAACAACATATTGTTGCATTCTGGTTCCTAATCTATTTTGCTGTCCTCTTCCCTTTTATAAATGAGTTCATCCCGTTCACATTCACAGTTAGATCTGCTGTGCAACTCTCTATCCTATTCATTTGCTCTTTTTTTTTTTAACCATCTCTTCTTCAAAAGTCTGTTTTGCCTCTGATGATTGCCTCTCTTAATTTACCTACTTTCTTATCACTCCCCCACTCCTTTTCGCTTAGCCTCTTTCCCTCCTACTTCTCTGTTGGGCGAGATGAATTCCTATGCCCAACTATGTTTGTATATATTATTTTCCCTCCTTAAATGAGTTCAGATGAGAGTGGGGTTGAAGTGTTGTTTGCTCCCCGATTTATTTTTCCCTCTATTGTGAAACTCTTCTTTAAGCATTTCTTTTATGTGAGATAATTTCCCTCATTCTTCCTCTCCTTTTCCCTGTCTTCCAAATGCATCCCTCTTTCTCACTCTTCCATTCTTCTTTTGAGATCATTTCACATAATAGACCCAAACCATGCCCTCTAAATAGAGTACTTCTAATTGCTGTAATGGTGATAATGTTCTCAGGGGTTACATGTATCTTCTTCCCATATAGGTATGTAAACAGTTTAACTTTGCTAAATCTCTTATGATTTCTCATCCATGTTTACCTTTTTATGCTTCTCTAGAGTCTTGTTTTTGAATATTGGATTTTCTATTTAGCTCTGGTCTTTTAATTAGGAATGCTTGAAAAGTCCTCTATTTCACTAAATGTTCATTTTCCCTATAGTTTTGCTCACTCAGTTTTGCTGGCTCGGTTATTATTGGTTGTTATTCTAGTTCCTTTGTCTTCTGGAATATCACATTCCAAGCCCATTTATCATGATAGCTGCTAAATCTTGTATGATCCTGACCACAGCTCCATGGTATTTGAATGATTTCTTCTTGGCTACTCACTGTATTGTCTTCTTGACCTGTGAGCTCAGGATTTTACCTACAATCTCAGTAGTTTTCATTCTGGTATTCTTTTTTCAGGAGGTGACTTGTGGACTTCTTCATCTTCTGCTTTGCCCTCTGGTTCTAAAATATCTGGGATTATTAATGTCAAAGAATAAAACAAGAAGAGAGATGTGTTTTTTATTTTTTTTTAATCATCTGTGTAGCTCTAGGGCCTGCTACACTTAGTAAGTGCTTATTAAGGGAGTGAATGAATGAATGAATGAATGCAAGATGCTCTGGATGCAAAGAAAGCAATGAAATGGCCCTTGTCCTCAAGGCAGCTACATTGGATTGGGGGGAGACAACATGTATGCAAAAGGGAATTGGAGGGAGAGCAAGAACCCCATCAACTGAACCTCTGTCATCCTGACGTGCAAAATAAGGAGACTGGATTAGATTTTCCCAAAGATTTCTTCTGGCTTGAAATCTTAGGATCTTTACTCACTTTTCTTCTTTGATCCTCAGTTTCTTCATCTGCCAAATGGGACTAATAAATATTCATTGTCTTAATTTCACAGAGTCACAGTGAGGAACAAATAATAAAGCAGAGGAAGTACTATGTATTTTAAGGCACTTATGTCCACGTCAGGCATTTTTTGCCTAGATCCTCTTAATGGTGGCTGGACAAAAGTTCCTTTCTTTGATTTCCAAAGCCCTCTTATTAGCAGAAATGATCAATGACACTATTATTCTGTTGAATTTTTATTGTGTAAGGGGAGAGAGAGAGAGAGAGAGAGACAGAGAGAGAGACAGAGAGAGAGAGAGAGAGACAGAAACAGAGAGAGACAGAGAGACAGAGACAGAGAGACAGAGGAAGGACAAAGCTATTTCCCACAGGGGCTGAGATGAGTGAGGAGAAAGGCAAAGGATCTTGTGTTTCTCCAAGGAATCCTAGGGTGAACTCCACAGGTGGAAAGGTTGGGTATTATAGTTGGGTGACTCTTCCAATATCTCTTCCATCAGTATTGACTCAGCCTGACCTCCAGATTATCGCCATCAGACACTACAAAGCTCCCAGCTCCTGTAGGGGGAAATGAGAGAAGACTGAGTCAGATGATGAAAAGCTAGGGTCTCCAAGTAAAGGAGCAATGCCATAGATTTTACCCACCCTCACGAGCCCTTGCTTCATGGGACATTTTCTAACTAAAAAAATCTCCCCAGAAACAGAGCTTTACACTCTGCAGAATTCCAAGCAAGAGTGCGCGGAGAAATTGCTTCTGCTTTATTTTATCTGCCACATCTTTGCTCACCTTGGCTCAATGGTTGATGATTATTCAGGAGCTCCCAGTAGGTTCTGTTTTTACTGCTGGCCTGAATACCATGAACAGAGGTGACATATGCTCCCCATTCACTTGACTCTATTGTGAACCTGGAGTAACAGAATTGCATAATCTCATGGTTGTCTGAGATCTGACAAGTCATTTGGTCCTACCCATGCTTGAATAGGAATCTGCCTCTACCCTGAAACCAGCTGTTCCCAATTCCTTGCTTGTAAATAGCTAGCATTTTGTAAATCTTAAAGCGCCACAAACAGCCCCCATCAATCAGTCAATAAACTTTTATTAAAGGCTTACTACGTGGATACGAAAAGCCCAAAACAAAACAAAGGGCATTTGCCTATCCTCAAGGAGGCTTACAATCTAATCTCACTGATTCCTATTAGGCCCTTTCTGTGACTTCAGAGTATTATAAGAAAGGATCCTGGAATTGTAGTCACATTGTACAGGTGGTGAAAATGAAGCTGACAGAGGTTATGACTTTTCCTATTAAGTATCCAAGGCAGGATTCAGACTCAGATCTTTCTGATTTCCAGTTACTTCCCTAAGCCACCTATTCAACAAGTCAAGTCAACAGGCTGCCTTAGCCTCCAGTAACGGACTTCTTATACTGCCACCTGCTGAGTCCGCCCATTCCACTTCTGGGCACCTTTATCTGCTGCTAAGTTTTCCCTTCTGTGATCCAAAATATGCCTCGCTTCAGCTTCTGTTCATTGCTTCTACTTCTGCCCTCTGGGGCCAAGCAGAGTGAGTGTGATCTCTCCTCTACAAAGCCAGTCTTTCAAATACTTCCAAGTAGTTATCTCCTCTCTAAGTCTTCTCTAGGCTAATTATCCCAGGCCCCTTCCCATCCTCACTGGGATATGCTTCAGTTTCTCAGTGTTGTCCCTAAAAGGTAGCATGTAGAACTCAACAAGATGCCCCCATTGGGGTCAGACCAGAGCACACATCATCTCCTTTCTTGTGGTCACTATGCCTCTTTTAAGGCATCCTAAGATTAATTATTTTTTGATGTGTAAGGACAGGAACCTGGGAGACCATAGGAAAGCATAAGAAATGTCATTGTTTCCATGCTGCCTTTCCTATGTTTCTACATGAACTTCTGGGGTAGTTTAAATAGCCTTGGTACATATGGTGGTCATGTGCTTTCGATATGCTGGTGTTAGAGGTTATTCCTTAAATATTTTTCTAGGTTGTTTGATATTTTGTTTTTATTAGACTAGACAAAATTACACATTAATTCAAAACAAAATGCATTGAAACTGAATAGAAAGATAAATGAGGTAATATTTATAAAGTGCTTTGCAGACTTAAAGCATTACAGAATAATAATAATAATTATTATTATTGTTATTACATAAAAAGGAAAAAGCTCTTTCTACTCTGTGCTGCTAGGGGGAAAGCTTCCAAACAGGAAACTGGATTTTCTGTTCTCTTGTGGTCTGTTCTTCCTTGGTGACCTAGAAGTGGAATTCCTATCCCTTTTTAAATTTTTTGATCTCAGGCTCTTCTGGCAGTCTGGTAAAGCCTATGATCTTCTCTGTCTCTGTTTTTCTTTCTCTTTCTGTGTCTGTTTCTTTCACTGTGCCTGTCTCTTTTACAACAATGTTTCCAAATTAATAAAATAAAATACATAGGATTGCAAAGGAAACCAATTATATTTAAATGCAATTATTAAGATATTAAAAAGAAAACTGAATCTATGGAACCCAGGTTAAAAACTCCTGCTCTAGGTGAATTGTAAATAGTGACTGGGGACTGGCTTTTAATCTTGCCTGTTGGCCAGGCAAAAGTTTTGGGCAATTTTTAAATTAGCTCTTGGGAATCCATTTCCCCCCTAATCTTCATGTGACTTTATAATAGCTAACCAGGTTTTGCTCACACAATCAAATTCCAGGTGTTTTTAAGCATTTAAACTCCTAGTCGTCCATAGGGCTATTGCTTCTTCGTTACTAAGACCTAGAAAGTCTTTAATAAATCTAGACTTGCTTCTTCTTTGGGTGTCCTCATTCTGGCATTGTCTATAGAAGCAGGAGATCCATATTATAAGCTGAATTTGCCCCAAGTCATTTTAGAAACATACCAAAACTTGGAGTAGTTTTGGGCTTGAGCTGCCTCCATCACCTTCAGGAAGACAGAATCCTTCGGCACTGAGATGATGGTGGATTCGTTAATGTTGTTATTGATGGAATCCACTACACTGTAAGTGACTGAGATATTCTTGGATTGGTGAGTGGGTTCTGTAGGTTTTGGGGTAGAGATGTTGAGGTGACCTGCTGGGGACAAAGAAGCAGACAGAGGAACACTCAGATATGGAATGGTTAGATGGCAAGCAAAACATGAGAGAAAGACCAAATCCTTGGTTGGCTCCAGGTCCATTCCAACTCCTTTTGGGTCTATTCCTTTACCCTGCCCCTGCTCTCCTCAGAGATTCCTATTTTGGTTAATTAAAACTCAACATTTTGGTAGCTCTGGAGGAGGCTAGCCCCATTTGTCATTTGACTTGTAATTTGATGACCTTGTCTCCGTGTCTCTTGATGTTCATGTCTCTCTTGGTGGGATTCCTTGCAGATTTGAGCAGATTAACAAGATAGACCACTTGTGTGTATGTGTGTGTGTGTGTGTGTGTGTGTGTGTGAAAAAGAGAGAGAGAGAAAGAGAGAGAGAGAGAGAGAGAGAGAGAGAGAGAGAGAGAGAGAGAGAGAGACAGACAGACAGAGAGATAAGGATAGCCAGAGGCGGAGACATAGAGACAGACACAGAGAAATAGTGAGAGAAACAAAGAGAGAGAGAGAGAGAGACAAAGAGTAGAAAGCATCTTGTGGAGGGAACCAGAATTATGTTGTTCTTGAGTTGTTTCAATCATGTCTGACTCTCTGTGAAGCCATTTGGGGTTTTCTTGACAAAGATGCTGGAGTGGTTTGTCTTTTCCTTCTCCAGCTCACTTTACAGATGAGGAAACTGAGGCAAACAGGGTTAATTGACTTGCCTAGGATCACACAACTAGTAAGTGTCTGAGGCCAGATTTGGACTCAGGAAGATAAGTGTTTCTGACTCCAGGCCTGGTGCTCTATCCACTGCACCACCTAGCCCAAGGAATTTCTATGCAGTACTATGCTTTGTGTGTCTCACTGAGGAGGTACCTAAAAAGACACTGATGGTGGTAGTACTGTCTCTGATGTCCTCTCTACTATCCAGAGTGCAATTTCCATCCAATTTAGGACATGAAATAACTGCAGCAGGGCCTCCCAGCGGAAGCTGACATCTCATCAACCAGCCAGGTTCAATGTTCAGCACAGAAACCCTAGAAGCTGGGACTCTCATTTCTTACTAGGTCTCTTGGCCCTTTTTTGCTACATTCATTAAGAGATGAACAAAAAAGAAGAAAAGGTCTCTCTCTTCCTTGGCTGTCCCTTTGAATAGCTCCAGTTCTCTGAGAGGGGCAACATTCCACAGAGGAATGCATCTTGACCTTGGTGTCCAAAGACCTGGGTTTAAATTCCACTCCTGCCACTGACTAGTTGTGTGACCTTGGAGAAGTCACTTCACCCTTGTGAACCATAGTGTCTTCATCTGTAGACTGGGAAGAAAAATGCACAGCCCATCCCACAAGATTGTTGTGAGGGGGGTGCTTTGTAATATTTTTATAGCTAAATGTGAGAGGCTGTATTCTATGAACCTTTCTCAATTTATTTCATTTTTGTCTTTATCTCTAGCACTGAGCACCACATTTAGCATACAGTAGATACTTAATAAATGTTTGTTGATCGATTGTTTTTTTTGCTCATGTTCATTTAACCCTCTCCTGTATGATCACTATAGTTTCTGCATTTGGAGACACCATTAGTCCCAAGTGATTAGGGAGTCATGCTTCAATTGAGGAGGAAATTGTGTAATGCCATGTTACTTGTTCCCAGAAAAACAAGCAGTATGGAAATTAGTTCTACTGGTTCTTGGAGCCAGTGGAGAATTGAATTGTCTAGGGCACAATTGCTTTGAAAACTGAATCAGTTCACCAGAGCCTTCCTTGCTGACTAATGGCCCAGCGAGAATACCATCCAATTTATCATTCTGTTAGATTTCCCTCCTCGATATAGTTGACTATTTCATTTCTAGATGTTGCGTTGAGATTAACCTCTTGGGCAGAAGTTTCATCTAAGCCCCAAGAACTCCTAGGACTCACTTTCGTTGGGTGGATTTCCTCTTAGGAAAGAATAAAGACGTCCATCTTAGGATGCTTATACCTGGTCTGGACTGACAGGAAACATGGGTAACGTCCAAGTAAGTCTTGCCCTCCAGGGCAGGCAACACTTGGGCTGCAGCGATGGGCAAGCTGAATGTTCCCTGGGAAATCTGGCTTAGCACGGTGTTAAGAGTCTGATTACAGTCCCAGGCTTCCTTCTTATAATACTCTGGAGTCACAAAAAGGGCCTAATAGGATTCAGAAAGAGAGGGAAAAAAGTAGATCTCAATTTAAGAAACTATGATGAAACCTGAAGTTTTATAGGGACAACATTTTGAAGGGGAATGTTTCTATTTTTCCTTCCCCTTTTTAAAGGAAACCTAGACCCATAAACTCTCCTAGTGGATAAAGGTCTCTTTTGTTTTTAAAGAATTCTGGGGAAGGAGATACCAATCTCAATCTCTTCTATTGCTCTATCAAATAATCAGCTAATGAGCATTTATTTAGCATCTATCATGTGCTAAGTACTGGGGGAAGGATGGGTGGGTATATAAAAGAAATAGTAGTGGGGATTGGCTCTTCCTGAGAGATGTGCAGAATCATATGGTCAGTCAGTCAATAAACATTTATTAAGAGTCTATAACATACCAGGCACTGAGCTAAGTGTTGGGAATACAAAGAATAGCAAAAGACAGTTTGTTTTCAAGTTTGTTATCTAGACAAGATAAATTGAAGATAACCAATACAGCAAAGGCACTTTTATTAAAGGAGCAATGATGATTTGTTTAGTTTGACTACTTATTTGTTACAAGAGGAAGTAATGTTGGGAAGGGTCAGGGGAGGAGTCATGGGGAAGTGGTAGTAATATAAAAAACAAGAAGGGCATCAATAAAAAAATTAAAACAAGAGTGACAGTTACAGAGAATGGGGGGGAGAGAGAAAGAGAAAGAGAGAAAGAGAAGGAGCGAGGGAGAGGAAGAGGGGGAGAGAGAGAGAGAGAGAGAGAGAGAGAGAGAGAGAGAGAGAGAGAGAGAGAGAGAGAATCCTTCTCATTCTTGAACACAGGTGTTCTGTCCCCCTGAGAACAGGGGGCCCAGAGCAGGGGATGGCACCCTCTTCAGTTACTCTTGCTGATGTCTCTTCTCTTTAATTTCCATAAACTCACCTGCATGGCTTCTCCTGTGCTGTAGATATCTCCTATGGTGCCATCTTGTTTTTTCTCCTTCAGGATCTTCTCCACAAGCCATAATATATTTTTACTGATAATTTTATCTGGGCTCTGCCTGTTCACACAAGTCAGAGCCAGGACTGCAAGTGCCCCAGTGTCTGTTAAGAGATTCAGGGGGTCAGAAAAACATAGCATGGGTAGCGATGTGTGTGTGTGTGTGTGTGTGTGTGTGTGTGTGTGTGTGTGTGTGTGTCTCAGAGGTAAGTGGGCATCTCTTGGTTTAGTGCTACCCTAGACTCTTCCAGGCTAGTGGATGGGAACCTGGAAAAGGTATATTTTTTATTTTGTCTTCTTATCTTAGATTCATAGGTCTGGAACTGAAAGGTATCTCAGACACTATCTACTCTAACCCTATTATTTTGCAGATGAAGAAACTGAGGCCCAGAAAGTTTAAATGACTTATCTAAGGTCACACAGGTAGTAAATTTCAGGGAGGGGATTTGAACCCAGGTCCTCTGAGTCCAGAGCCACTGATGTTTCTACAATATGTTGTATCTTCCATTTTTGTCCCCAGTAGTCTTATCTTGATGTATATGTCTTCCCTCTCTTGTGACCCTCAGCCCTTTTCTGTGTATATATGATTTCTACCTGAATGCAGCATGTGTGGGACTTATTTTACAAGTTGTTGATACCAAGTTCCTGATGCAAAGTGAGTATCTGATTGAGCTAATTTCCATTTAGATAAATGATGACTTCGATACTTATCTGTGAGCTAAAATTTCACCAATATGATTGATTGATACACTACCTGAATCAATTCTCGGTGACTCGTTAAGTTACAGAGAAGGTGCTGACCTTCCTGGGCAGAGCAAATTCTTACAGCTTCCTACATCGATGAAATCTCTGCTCTGGTTTTCTTTTTTCATTGAGGCATGCTTTTGTTCAGTATGCTTAATATATCTACCCTTCCGTTTTCAGAGACACATCTGTGAGAGGGTGAGTTGTTGGTATCATCTCTCCTGATGCACTATTGCCAAAGCAAAAAGACCCCAAGTTCATTAGAATCATGGGATATGTCCACTGGAGGAGCCTTCCTACAGCTTTCTGTACTTCAGTCTTTCTAGAAATATATGCCCATGTACACACCCTCTTCTATTACTGTTCTCACCCACCTACTATGTCCATCCTACCTCCCTCCACATCAAAAGTTGGCAAAACTAGTGGAGAAACCCAGGACATGGTCAAAAAGGAAGAATATGCTTACAGTACATACCTGGATGTCATAATTCCCTGGATGGGAAGTAATATCTTAGTCTCTGTATTCCTCTGTCTGCTTCCTGATTTTTGTTCCCTCATTTCTCCCCTCCTCCCTTGCCAATTTCCCGCTCCAGATTTTCCTGTCCCTTCCAATGTGCTTTTGGGAACATCTCCATAATAAGCAATTTTTCTTTCATCTTAAAACTTTTTCTTTCTCGCTTCTGTCTTCTGGCATTCACTGAGACCTGGTTCCCTTCTGATGATACTGTTTCCCTTGCCACTCTCTCCAGGATTAACTAGATTTTCTCTCACACTCCCCACTGAGGGGTTGTGGTGGGGGTTGGAATACCCCTTGCTCCCCACTGCCACTCCCTCTTTATGACCATCACTCAATGACCTCTCTTCCTTTGGGGTTCATTCAAAACAAATTTATCACCCAGTCTAGGTCACTCTCTTTCCTTTCTCCATAAATTCAGTGCCTTGTTCACAATCTTCCTCTCCACCCCACTACTCCCCTCATTATGGGGACTTCAACTGAATGTGTTGATGTGGCTTCCATTTTCACAGTTGATTCAGCCCTCACAACCTACCCTTCCATTCCACCTAAGCTACAAAAAAGATTCTCTTGCTATTACTAGCAAGTGTTCTGCTGCCATGCTCAAGAGCTCTGAATTTCCAGCACATGGTCAGCACATTTTTATCTTACCATCACCTTCTATATCTAAGCATTCTCTCCATCCTCACTATGACCTCCAGACCTTCCATTCCTCAGTACTGTCTTGGGCCCTCACTTCTACTCTTGCTGTACTCTTTTCTCTTCCCAATTTTGACCCCTTGGTGGAACAGTTCTGCTCTTCACGATCCCCTTCTCAAGTTCCTTGTTCTGTTGTCCTTATGCCAGTCATACTTGCTAAACCCCAACCCTGGATTGTTCCCATCATCCACCTCCCCCACTTTCGCTGACATGATGCTGAAATGGAATTAATTGGAAGAAATCATGAAAAGGTGACCATAGGGTCTACTACAAATTGATGCTAGCTGATCTCACTATAGCAAGGCATTCATTAATTCTCCCTAATAGACTCTTTGTTCTACCTACCACAGCAGTTTCAACCCTTGTATTCTCTTCTCAAACCGTCTCGTACCACTCCCTTCCCCCCACTATTTCTGCTAAGGATTTTTACTTCACCAAAAAAAATTGAGCCCATCTCATATCCCTCTAACACTATCCCCCACTACCTTCCCTTCTCTGCTAAATTCATTGAAAAAAGCTATCTATGACCAGTACCTCTACTTCATTTTCTCTGTCTCTTCTAAATCCTCTAAAGTATAGCTTGTGAGCTCATCATTCAACTGAAACTGTTCTCTCCAAAGTTACTAATGATGTCTGAAACGCCATATATCATGGCCTCTTCTCAATACTCATCCTATTTGACTTCTCTGCAGTCTTTTACACTGATGACTACCCTTTGCTGGATAATCTCTCTTTTATGGGTTTTCATCCCTCTGCTCTTTCTTAGGTCTCTTCACAATCTGTCTTACCACCTTCTTTTCAGTTTCTTTCGCTGGGTCTTCATCCCTGTTGTGACCATTAACCAAGGTTCTGTCCTGATCTCCTTTCTCTCTGTACTTTTACTTGGTTTTTATCATTGGTTCCTAGGGCTGCAATTATTCTGTGTAGGTGATTCCCAGGTAGCTAGATGGTACCATGGATAGAGTGGTGAGGCCGACAGTCAACAAGACTCATCTTCATGAGTGCAAATTTGGCTTCAGACACTTACTAGCTGTATGACCCTGGACAAGTCACATAACCCTGTTTGCCTGAGTTTCCTCATCTGTAAAATGAGCTAGAGAAGGAAATGGCAAATCATTCCAGTATCTTTGCCAAGAAAACCCTAAATGGGGTCACAGAGAGTTGGACATGACTGAAAGATAATGATTCCCATTTCTGTCTGTCTGTCTGTCTGTCTTCCTCTCCACATATAGGCTTTCTTCTGAGCTCCAGTTTTATATCACTACTTATATATTAGAAATATTGAACTGGATGTCTCAAGGGCGTTTCAAACTCAATATCAACATGTCCAAAACAGAACTCATTTTTGTTTTTCCCAAAACTCTACCCTCTTCTGAACTTCCTTACTGCTGTCAAGACTTCCCAGTCACCAAGGTTCACAACTTCAGTGTTACCTTTGACTTCTCTGTCTCACTCACTCCACATATCCAATCAGTAACCAAATCTCCTCATTTATTTCCATGTGATCTCTCTCATCTCCCCTCCATTCTTCCATTTACATGGCTTACATTGAACTTGAGGCCCTCATCATCTCAGCTAGATTATCGAAGAAGTGTTCTTATCGGCCTCCATGTCTCAAGTCTTTTTATGCTCAAATCCATCCTCCACTTGCCTGCCAAACTGATTTGCCTAGAGCTTAGATCTTTCCATCTCACTCTCTTGCTCAATAAACTTCAGTACCTCCCTATTACTTCCAAGATCAAAAATAATCTCCTTTGTTTGGCATAAAAGGTTTTTCATAACTTGGCCCCTTCCTACCTTCCCAGACTAATTCACACACTTTACTCTCCTCCACAGCAGTCTGTGGTGCAGTCATCCCACCCAACTTGACACTTCTCAGATACAGAGCACCATTTCCTGCTTTCATGCTTTGGTGCTGTCTGCTCCGCATTTGGAACACTCTCCCTCCCTCCTAATCTCCTGCTCTTAGAATCCTTGGCTTCTCTTAAGACTCCACACAAGTACCATCTTTTCCAGGAGACTTTTCTTGGTCCCTTCAGGGTCTGGTGCTAACCCTTCCAAGGTTACCTTCCATCTAACTTTATATTTATCTTGTCTGTTTTAATTTACATATGTTGTCTCCTCCATTAGAATGGAAGACACTTGAGAGCAGGGACTCTTTTCTTCTTCTCTGTATTCCCAGGTCTCAGCACAGTGCCTGGCACATAGCAGGAGCTTATTAGAAACTTCTTGATGGATTGACTACTTCCTAAAATGTTTACCTGAGACAGTAGATGGGATGATGGAGGCTAAATTTCTATTTCTATTTCAATTTCACACTTGGATTTTGCGTAGGGAAGATAGCCTGGTGTCATTACTTACCCACAAAGAACTGACCACTAATATAACTCATCCTTTGCTCTGCAGAGAAGAGCTTAGCAATTTTGGAGGATGAATAGGTTCCATTTAGAAGACACAAAGCCAAGACATCCAAGCCAAGCTCATAGTAGTTAGTCAGTGGCTGGCCAGAGGTATCTGATGGGAAGCAAAGAATAAATACCTTATCCGTAGAAGGAAAACAAGAGAGATATATACCCAAGTAATGCTTTTGTCCTCTTCCTCCTTCATCTTACTCCTCTTCCCCCCCGGCCCCTGTCCCTGCTCCCTACTAAATACAATTGGGTAACAGAGAGAACATGGATAGAAAAGAGTTGATAAGATATTATAACCCATATAGGAATTTATCTCTCCAGAAAGGTGATGAGAGTCCTAGAATCAGAAGGAACGTTGGAGATCATGCAGTCCAATTTCTTATCTAATGCAGGAATCCTCTCTGCACCATCTCTGACAGCTGTCTGCTTAGTCTCTGTTTGAACACTTACAGCAATGGGGATCTCATCACCTTGTAAGGCATTTGTTCCAATGTTGTATGGCTCTAAATGTTAGCTAAATCTTTTGTTGAGCTGGAATCTGCTTGCTTCTACCCTCTTCCAGTTGGTCCTGATTCTGCCTTCTGGAGTAGCATACAGTGATTTACTTTTCATGGGCTAAAACGGTGTCAATACAAAGCATGGGATTTTATGCTTCATATACTTATTGTGAATTTTATGAATGCCTCATAATTCATTTTATCCCAGTGCCTGGCACATAGTAGGTGCTTAATAAATGCTCATTGATTTATTGAACTCTGAATTTCCTGTTTCTCTAAGAAATGTCTTTCAACAGAATGCAATGCAGCGTTACTCTGTCTTCTTGTAGCACTTGGTATCTATCTGACTGGGATGCGTTCCTAGACTCAGATATTGGCTGCTACGATTCTCTTTCTTGTGCATTATCTCGTCTCTTCATTATGTGCCTCAGGTCGTAAATACTTCATGGTACCTAGGACAATACTTGGGACACAACAGGTCCTCAATAAATATTTGATTGATGGAAAAGAGGAAGCCGTGGATGTAGAAGGAGGGAAGTTAGTTAGCCTGAAAAGATGTAGTAGAACAAAGAAGAAAAGATAGAATACAGAAGTGGAACAATGGAGGAAGGAAGAAAGGCAGCCTTTGATGGAGATGTTCTTACCAATACTGTCTATTTCCTTTTGGAACTTCTCTTCCAGGCTTTTGACCAGTTTATATTCAGCTACAAAGCTTGTCTGGCAGGCAGCTGTCAATGCCAGAATAATCAGGGCAAGCTGTCCTGAGGTTAAAGTTTCTTAAAGGAAACAAATATGTCTGAGTAAGTAAGTGATTTTGACATAGTTGATTTTATTAGAGAGAGAACTGGGCTTGGATTCTTGATAGAGAATCACAGAATTTTAAACTTGGGAGAATGCTCATTGCTCACTGAGTACAATCTAAATCCTCTACAATGTTCATGAAAAGGGTCATTCAGCCTTTGCTTAAAAAAATCTGGGGAGGGGAACCCACTGCTTCATGTATCTCCTTATTTTTTTTTAAGGCAATTAGGGTTAAGTGACTTGCCCAGGGTCACACAGCTACTAAGAGTCAAGTGTTTGGTCTGAGGCCAGATTTGAACTCAGGTCCTCCTGACTTCAGGGCCGGTGCTGTATCCACTGTGCCACCTAGCTGCCCCCTCCTTATAATTTTTAATCCATGGCTCCTGTCCCTCACCCCAATCTGGAATCAAACAGGACAATTCCAATCTTTCCTACAGATACTTGAACACAGGTGTTATGTCCTGAGCCTTCTCTTCTCCAGCTTAACTAGCCCGCCCCAGTTCTTTACATGAAGGATTCAAGGTCCTTCGTCATCAGGTTGTCCACCTTTGGATGCTCTCCAGATCATCAATGAGCTCCATAAAGTGTGGTGACCAGAACTGAATATGATACTGCAGGCATGGTCCGACCAAAGCAATACCATTAACACCTTTGAAATAATACACTTAGAATTTCTCCAGGAACAAAAGTTAAGCTCACTGGCCTCTCATCTATAGGCTCTTATTTTCTAGATTTTGAAGAATAAGACACCATTTGCTTTCCTGTAAGCGTGGAGAATGAGAGAGAACCTCGGAAGGGCAAATGTTGTCCTGGGAAAAGAATCTTTTACAAGCTAATGCCAGCAAGCATTCTAATTCTTGGTAAAGTTCTAAAATGTTTTATGTAAAAGATGTTTCATGGATATCTAGAAACATTGGTGATGAATGCAAAGAGGCAGCATGGCTTCTGTGAGAACAGGTCATTGGGGCATCGAGGTGGCATAAGAGGTATAGCACTGGACTTTAAGTCAGGAAGATCTGGGTTCCAATCCTGCCTCAGATATTTGCTGGATGTGTGACCCTGGGCAAGTCACTCCTCCTCCTCTGGGCCTCAGAATTCCATATCTGTAAAATAAGGGGGTTGGACTCAGTGTTCTTTAAGGGTCCTTGCAGCTCTAAATCTATGATCCTATAGTAAATTCTAGGTCCTTTAGACTGGCTGATGAGGGGAATTCTGTCGATTTTGGACTAGCCATTACTAATAGTGTTTTTGTTGTTGCCACTTACTTCCTACGTCACACCTACTAACTGGAAATGCAAGCTGGCTGTGTGAACTTTGCTCTTCTCAGACTCAGAATTTCTGAGTTTGTCGACTGGCAAATTGTCTTTTTTATCCATCTGTCCCCGATGCCCTTTCCGTTTTCTTTTAATGAGCTCCTTTTTAACGTTCTGCTCTGGCCCTCGTTTGTTACTGGTACGGCATGTATCGGCAATGTTAGAAATAGGCTCTGGTGTTAGGAAGATCCTGCTTTGACGCCTGCCTCAGCAAGGTGGCAGGCTGAGAGAGCTTCAGTGACTTAGCCAAGGTCACCCAACTAGTAAGTATCTTGGGCTGAATTCGAACTCCAGATCCAGTACTCTGTCCATTGTACAACCCACCTACCTAAGTAACCTAGCTGGCTTCAACTAAGGTTATAGAATTTTAAAGCCAGACTAAGTCTTAGAAAGGACTTAGCTTAACTCCCTCCTTTTATAGAGGCAGCTAGATGGTGCAATGGATAGAACACTTGGCCTGGAGTCAGAAAAACATGACTTCAAATCCAGCCTCAGGCACTTACTAATTGTGTGACTCTGAGCAAGTCACTTAAACTCTGTCTGCCTTAGTTTCCCAACTGTAAAATGGGGATAGTCACAGCACCTACCTTCCAGGGTTGTTGTGAGGATCAAATGAGACAATATTTGTAAAGTGCCTGGCATACAGTAGGTGCCATATAAATGTTATTTAACCCTTCACCCTTTCCCTACATAGAGATGTAATTTTGGTATAATGGAAAGAGGGCTGGATTTGAATATCAGGAAGACCTATGCTCAAGGCCTGCCTCTATCATTTACCAGCTGTGTGGCCTTAGGCAAGTCACTTAATTTCTGTTTGCCTTGGTTTCTTCATTTGTAAAATGGAGATAATAATGTCTATTCTCTCTCTCTCTCTCTCTCTCTCTCTCTCTCTCTCTCTCTCTCTTTCTTTCTCTCTCTCCCTCCCTCTCTCTCCCTCCTTCTCTCCTTTCTCTCCTTTTTCTTTCTCTCTCTTTCATCTATTTACCTACTTACTTCTCTATCTATCATGCTTGATTTATGATTTCATTGTTATAATGAATAGAGAGGAGGAAATTCTTTCTCAGTGAAAATCAACCCCTGCTCTGAGACTTCTAGTTTTCCAGAGTTCCTTGGGGGGTATCGAGAGGTTTAGTGACTTGGCCAGAGCTGTGAGTCTCATTAAAATGCTATATAAAATTCAACGATTATTATTTTTGTTACTCTCATTAGAGAGGAGGAAACCGAGGCCTAGAGAAAGGAAATGACTTGGTCAAGGTCAGTAGCAAAGGTGGGTTCGCAACTTGGGTGTCTTGATGTCTAGTTCAACGCTTTTTATACAGTCTCCTATTCTGTGAGCTATTAATTTTTAGGAGTATTTATATCTGAATGGAGAAGTCTTGAAGAAAGCCTCCAGTAGCCAAAGGAATGGTGGGCAGAGACCTTGGTTGCTTGAGGAGAGGGTGGTGTGCCGTCTTGTATTCCTTTAAGGGACTCATAAGTATGCGATCGTTGGGGAACTCCTTGGTAGAGCCCTCACTGGGAGATCAGCAGCAGGGGCTTTGGCCCAGGCACCAAATTTAGAGGGCCCTAACATTCCTTGAGTCCTCGGGCAGCTAGAAAAACCAGCTTCATCCTTCATTAGCAGGAATAATGGCAATTAAAATAAGAACCTCTTACATATGGAGGTTCCTCCATCCCCCACCCCAGTTGTATTCCTTCACATGTCCTGTTTGGCTGTAGCCCTGCTTCTCCGCTCCAGCCTAAGGTGACCCCGCTTAGGCACAAACTAGAGGTGTCCCATGTCTCTGTCCGCGGTGTCATGGGGTGGTGGAGTGCTTCATTCCCTTCTTTACAACTGAAATCACGTTAAAAAGGTTATTATGAGGTCCTTTGTGCCCCCTTGCAGAGGCAGGGGATTATGGGCATAGAACACTGCATGTACTATCTGGCTCATTTGACGCATTGGTTAATTTCACTGAACTGTTTTTTTCCTCTTTCCTCCCCTTCCTTCTTAAAAAAAAATAGTTACAAGGTAAGGGTGTCTGGGTAGGGGAGTAGGAGGTGAAATATTTGGAAATGAAGGTGACAGAAAACCAGAAGGTATCCTGAAATTCTCCGTGTTTCAAAAATTATAAAATATGAAACAAGTGTGAGGTATTCTTACTACATAAAAAAGCAACAATAAAAAACAATAAAAAAAACCCCCAAAACTTTCCAGAGCTTTGCTCTATAAGCAGACCACTTCCCCCCAACACTGACTGGACAGCTGGGATGGGCCCCCTCCTTGTCATTTGTGTTTTTAAGACGGTTGTTCTTACCACGCTGCAGGATGTTTTGTTTGACTACATTGAGGAAGGCTGTCTCAGCTTTCTGGTCATATTGCCTTGCCAGCTCGAGGGCAATCAGGATGCTGGAATCTGCTTCTGGGGAGGGCTGCCTGGATTGAATCATTGTGGCCATCAGAGGAGCGAGGCTGGCCTGCTGCTCATTGCTTGCCTCTGGGGTGAAGGAAAGAAAGAGAGAATCAGAGGCATGTGCCCAAGCCTTTCCTTAAATTTTTTTTTTTATAAATGGAGAAACTGAGGCATTGAGGCTGATAGTAGTCTTCTAAGGGCCCAGAGCAAGTCAGCCACAGAGCTGGAACTAGAATGCTCGTCTATCATCCTCACCAATATCAATGCTAGCATTTATGGAGCACTTTCAAGTTTGTTAAGCACATTACATGCATTATTTCAAATGATCTTCACAGTAATCCTGGAAAGTTGGCACTTACTATTATCCCCATTTTACAGATGGGGAAATTGAGGCTGAAACCTTTGCCCAGGGTTACACTAGTAAGCTGGAGAAGGAAATGGCAAACCATTCCAGTATCTCTGCCAAGAAAACCCCAATTGGGACCATGAAGAGCCAGACATGACTGAAATGACTGAATAAAAAAAGTAAATTATCTGAGACAAGTTTATTAGTAAGGTAATTAAATGTCTGAGACAAGATTTGAACTTGGGTCTTCCTGACTCCAAGTTCAACTCTCTATCAGTGCTTTCCTTTGTTCTCTTCTATATACTAGATGCAGCTTTTCTTACCCCCATCCCCAGCGATCGCAATGCAACAAGTATTTTATTAAACATCAGCTAAGTGCAGGGTACTAACTAGGAATTAAAAAAAAAAAACAAGGAAGAACAAATGATCTCTGTCTTGAAGTAGCTTCCGTTTCCTGGAGAGATCTGGTACCTACCCAGGTAAGTAAGTAAAGGATAAGATGAGGAAGGAGGAAGAAATTAAGAGGATCAGAGTCCTGAGAGCTTACCGTGCCTATTGGCATTCTAAATGAGTCCTGGGCTTTCACAGAGGGGGACAAGGATGGCAATAAGCTTGAAAGAATCAGCAAGAAGAGGGTGGGCTTTTGGCCAGCCATGCTTAGCACAGAAACTTATGAACAAATAGAAGAAAGCTCCCAATGCGATGAAGAAATCCCCTGGATTGAGGAAACCTCAGCACCAAGTTCCAGAAGCAGACAATAATTCTTTACCTGCAAGGTGACCTCATCTTCCTTCCCCCAAAAGAATGGACCAATCACAAAGACTCCAAGAGTAGATGGAAGAAATGAAGGAGGAAAGAATGAAATGGGAATTCTTGAGGGAAAACTGTGGAAGAAGAGAAGGTGGAAGACTTCACCCTGGGGAGCGTGCAGCTTTGGAGAGGGATGCCTGCTGTTCTGGACAAAAATCATGCAGTGATTCTAGTCCTGACCCCTGTGGGGAGGGACGACAGGGTCCAGACTCGGACTGACAATTCCCTCATTCCATCCTAAGGGCTGGTGGGGGCAGAGGCGGCTGTGTACAAGAGTGATGGGCGTGCAAGTCCAAGAGGGAGCAAATCTCGAGAGTGAGCACTGTCTTGATTTGGCTATTGGTAACTTTGGTCCCTCAGTTTCAGCTGAGTGATGAGGTCAGAAGCCAAGTTGCAAAAAGAAAGAGGAAGAAGCAGGTATAGACTTTGTCCAGGAGTTTGGGCAAAGGGAGGAGAGACATAGAATAGTAGCTTGAAGAGTTGTTAGGGTTGAGTATTCCCTTCTCTCTAGCTCCCATCTGTCCTGGCACTGACTCCTTCTCTTCCCATTGATCAAGAGCCAAAGGTGAGGGTGTGTTGGGGGTCTGGGGGATGGGGACTGTGCCAGTGACCCCACTCCTTGCGCCCACAATGGGAGTACTGTGTGGTTACCCCTCACAGACATCCTGTTTGGCAATCTTCCTGGAGCTGAGAGCTTGCCCCATCTTCCTGGTCACCACTGTCCAATCAGATTCCTTGGCTTCTGCCCTCCAGGTACACTCTAGTAATTTTTGTCCCTTTCTTACTGACTTTCTAGCCCAGGGCCCTTGTTTCTCTGAGGCTGGAAGGTTTGTGAAGCCCCTCCCACACAACAACCCTATAAGGAGGCTAGTGAAGGGATATTCCTATTTTACAGAGGAGGATAGTTAGGCTCTAAGATCACACAGCTAATAAGGCTTAGACCCCAGGATATGAACCTCAGGATTTTCCTCCAAGGCCAGCACTCTTTCTACCACCCGGCAAAGGTTTCCTAGGAAAATCTCCCCTGTAGAAACATAACTCTGAGAAATGACTAACAGTAAAGAGTGATCTGGGCCAAGTCAGTTCCTCATCTGTAGAAAGAGGGGATTGGACTTCATGACCTCCAAGCTCCTTTCCCAGGACAGCTAGGTGGCTCAGTGGATAGAGCACAGGCCCTGGAGTCAAGAGGATGTAAGTTCAAATCTGACCTCAAACTAGCTTTGTGACCCTGGGCAAGTCACTTAACCCTGTTTGCCTCAGTTCTTCATTTGCCAAATGAGCTGGAGAAGGAAATGGCAAACCACTCCAGGATGTCTGCCAAGAAAGCCCCAAACAGGGTCCTCAAGAGTCCGAAATTACTGAACAAAGTCTTCGTCTATGAGATGGGGATGTTGGATTTCATGACCTCCATGGTTTTTAAATTGATGAGCCTATGCCTTGCCCAAGGTCACATAGCTTATAAGTATGGCTTTTTTTTCTCACAGTAGAGTTATTTCCACTGTTATTCTGTTCCGTAGAAGGAATGGGAGCAGACTCGATGAAACATCCCCAAATTCCTGCTCTCAAGAAGCAAGGTCATCAATCTGTGAGTCTGGAATATGGTGTTCCCGTGAGTTAGCTATGGGGTCTGAGTCCCTCCTCCCCTATTTCCCATAATCACCCTACCCCTAGGAGCGCCAGAATTCACTTACCACAGATCTCACAGAGGTGAGCAGGGAGGAGAAAAAAGAGGAGAAAGCCCACCAGGGACAGCTGCTGGGATGCTCTCATCTCTCCAGCGGTGGTCTCCTCTTCCTCTCCTCCACCTGTGTTAGACGACAGAGTCTGAGTCTGGATACTTAGTGGGCAAAGAGCAGGGCACAGCTGACGCTCCTCCTCTACCTTGCCTCACCCCTTTCTGTCAGACAAACGTTGAGCAACAGCCAGCAGGGTGGCTTGGCCAGTCGGCCCCTGGGGAGGCAGGAGCCCAGGAAAGAGTCAGAAGGGGGGCTGTCAGGTGCCATGGATCTTCCCCCTGAGTCTGGGAATTGCTGCAGCCTACTCATGTCTGCTACATGTTAACTGGCAATCAGTGTATCATTGAACAAGGGCTTAGTGATCACTTACAGAGCTTTTCGACATTGTGCTCTAGGGACCATCACTTTACCTTCACCGCAGTTTGTGAGATCCCAGATCGAGAGCTGGCAGAATTGGTAGAGGCCCCATACCTTAATGACTTTAAGGCAGCATGGGCTCGTGACTAGAATTCTGCACACTTTCCAATTTCCTCATCTATCCAATGGACATGGCAAAAACAAATGTCTCACAAGGTTGTTGCAAAAATCAAATGAGATGATATTTGTGGAATGCTATATAAAGCAAGCTCAGATCATTCAGTCTAAGCCTCTCATTTTATAAAAGAGCAAACTAAGGCCCATTTTGTCTTTGTATCCCTACTGCTTCTTACAGTACCTGGGTCCTAGTAGGAAAGGAGAAATACTTGTGGATTGATTAATTCCCTATTTGCCTGCCAATAATGAATGGGATAAAGCGGGATCCTTCTCATAAAGTCATATCACCAGTCTTGGCCTCACATCCTCCTGCCCTCAGCCTCGCTGGGGGTATCTATCCCCTCCTCTGTAGCTTTTCACCTAGTTTCCCCTGCCTCACCACCTTCATGGACCAACTCCATGACAAAAACCTGAACATGTTGTCTCTCCACGTGCCCAGTGGACCAGCGAAGCTGGACTGTGACAGCTGGTCTAGGCCACGAGACATTCAGCATTATAGGCCAAATAATAGCATGATCGGACTGTTTTGGTCAGTCACCATGAAAAGCAAGTATATTCATTCAGACATTTATTAAATAGCTCTATTTGTATATGGCATAGTGGATAGAGAGTTGGCCTCCGAATCAGGAAGACCAAGGTTTAAGTCAGGTCTTTGACACATACTGGGTGTGTGCTTCTGGGCATATCACTTCATTTGTCAGTGCCCCAGGCTGCTCTCCAAGACTAAAACTTGAACAAGGGCCCATCTGCCTTGGTAGATGGAATTTCCTCGAAATGGAGTTCCCTACTCCAAAGAAGTCTTACGTTGGGACCAGAAAATAATATCCAGAGCACAGTATATACTGGAGGAGATACAAACACTGAGAAAATAGTCCCTATTCTCACTATACAAATAGTTCACAGAATCATAGGTTTGAAGGTAGAAAGAATCTTAGAGCCCTCATTTTAGAGATGAGGAAACTGAGACCCTAAGAGATGAGGTGACCTATTATATTATAATTATAATATGTCATGATTAATTATTATATTATAATATATCATAATGGTCACTCAGGGAGTATGTCATGCAGAATTTGAGTTCAGAGCATCTGATTTCAAAGCCAGTGCTATTAAAATTTGTGTCTCATTGTTAGATTTTATAGTCTAGTAAGAGGTGATAAGGTGTACATTATAGATAAATAAAATACAAATCTAGAATATGCCAAGTGAATAACAGTATAAAAAAACTATGAGAGAAGATGAAGGTGAAATAACTTCCAGCCTGGAGGTTCATAGAGCAGAGATGTCATTTGGGCTGAATCCAAAAGGATTGTGGGATAGAAATTGAGGAAAGCCTTGGGGGGTAGGGAAAAGAGCATTCCATATGTAAGGATTTATGTAAGGAACAAGGGTATAGGGATGGGAAAGCCTGGGCTGCATTCAGGGAAAAGCGAGTAGTCCACTCTAGTGTGACTGATGTGTTGGCCTCAGTATCCAGGAAGTTTACTCAGAAGGATTAAGGAATGGGATTGAAGGGTAAATGTCACTGAGCTTTCGGGAGTCAGGAGGAGTCTATGGTAGGAACTGTTCCAACAGCTGCCTCAGCTCTGCCACCATTTCAGCCAGGACAGCTCACTTGCCTTCCTCTCCCTTGCCCAGTCTTTCTAGAGTTTAAAAAGGCTTTCTGGTCTCTGACTGGGCACTTTCATCATCCCCATCCTCTGGCAGAGTCCAGAGGAGTTTCTGTGTCCTTGAGTCTTGGGACCCAGGCCCTTCCCCAGCTGCTTAAGAGCAGGCCCAAGTTGTGAGATTCCTGACAACACAACCTTATCACTGTGGGATCCAAATTGTCCAGCCTGCAAGAAAGAACACTGAGGCAGAGCTCCAAGCCAATAGCACTTGATTAAGAGGTCCATGGTCCCCCTTTAATGAAGTGGACCTCAGATCTTCCTCATGATCCGAGATGCCCCCTGTCCCTACGGCCTTAGTTTGATAGTACTGGATACCCAGACATTCGGAAGAGGCAGAGGAGAATATAGGATCTCATTGGTTGATAGACTTTGCTTTTGATCCTCCAGAAGGGCCAGAAATGGTACATCAGCATGGGTGGTCGCAGGATGGACAAGGCAAGGGTCATCTCTGCTGACAAAGTGGTCATTAGATGGGCCCCTCTTCATACTGGGCAAGAAAGGATGGTCTAGAGATGCAAAAATAAGTTGGGGGGACTTTCCATGTCATGTCAAGACGTCCCACCCACTCTAGGCATGGTCCTGTACTCATCACCCAAAAGGGTGGGGGTTCTCTAGTTAGCATTCTTGTGGTTAGGCAAGTGAACTTTACAACAAGCAGTGAGCTTTGAACTTATAGCTTGTAGTTTCAAGCTTGGAGCCTAATATAAGAAAGAATCTAATCGTATCCAATTATTCCTTTATTTAATATATGTAAAATATGTATTAATATATGGTATTCCTACACTCATGCTAGCTGACTACACTGACTAAATATATATGTATATATACATATATGTATAACACTAATAACTGGTAATAATCACTAACCCTATGGAATCATACTAAACTGATTAACACTGATTAGAATAAAATAGGGGTCCAATAAATAATTTTTCTCACCACTGTTCCATTTACCCAGTGATATCAATATTGGGATTGTACCGCAAAAAGATCAAAGAAAGAGGAAAAGGTCCTTTAAGTACAAAAACATTTACAACAACTCTTTTGTAGTAGAAAGGAACTAGAAACTAAGGGGGCTGGCCATCAACTGGGGAGTGGTTTAACAAATTATGATATAGGAATGTAGCAGAATACTGTTATGTCATGAGAAATGATGACAGGGATGACTTCAGAGAAACCTGGGAAGACTTGTATGCACTGATGTAGAGGGAAGTGAGTAGACCAAGAACAATTTATTCTATGTCAATATTGTAAAAAATGAACAATTCTGAAGGATTTAAGAATTCTGATCAAGCAATGATCAACCATGATTCCAAATCTCCTGACAAGAAAGTGATCAACTAATATGCAGAACAGGACACACATTTTTAGACATGGCCAGTATGGGAACTTGACTATGTTTATTTATTTCAAAAGCTTTGTTTTTGTTTTCCACTGAAAGGGGAGAGATGGGAGGGATAAAAAAGAAAGAATTGAAAATAAAAAAAATTAAGATTTATCACAGTATGAGCTACAACTTGGATATAAATTACATCAAATTGAAGAATACCAGTGGTATGTAAAAGTGGAACAAATGTCTTACTGTAGTGGTTTTTCTATCACGTCATGCTTATTTTACAAAGCAGTGACTTCTCTCTGAGGAGCAGATCCAGCAAAAAGCTCTTCTATCATACAATAGGGACCATGAGGTCCATTTCTTTTCTCCTTCATTGTAAACTTTTTGGAGATCAGACATGTCTAGATCAGGATAAACAGTGTGGTACAGTGGAAAGAGCACTGACTTTGGAGCTAGAAGTCCTATGTTCAAATCCTGTTATTGTTACTACCTCTGTGGTTTTGGGTAATCATTTAACCTCTCTGGTACTGTTGCCTTACCTATCTATACATGTGAGAAGTAGAGTACAGTTCCTCTAAGGTCCCTTTCACCTTTATCTATTCCTTTGTCTATTATCACCCACATCCTAAGAAGACATCAGGAGCCCAAGTCCACATTTGGTTCTAGGTTTCTATAGGCTTACCACAACAAGGCTGACTTGATGTGAGAAGGACCAGTGACCACAGGTGCGAGCTTACCACACTGTGCCTTGGTTTCCTCATCTGTAAAAGGGAGGTGTTGGACTAGATGGCCGTTCAGGTCCTTTCTAGCTATAACTCTATGATCTTAGTCTCATCTCTCCAGCAAATATTTGAGCTCTTTTTTGCCCAGCCCATGTTAGAGTGCAGGGGTCTGGTCTTGGTATTTATTTTGTGACAGGAAGAGGATTACCTTTGACTTCTCTTCCATTGTATTTTCATCCAGGGAAATATTGAGCTATGGGTGTGGCCAGTAAAAGCTATTTGTGGGGAGATGAGTCACTTGGAAAAAATCAGAAAAAGTGTGGTCAGAGTTTGGGGCTACTTAAGAAGAAAGGGTACTTTTGGAAGAGGAGAGAAGGGCATAGAATTTGAGGTCAAAGGACCATAATTTGTAAATTTAAAGCTGGAAGGCACCCCAGAGGCTATTTAATTTACTCCTCTCATTTTACAGATGAGGAAACTGAGGCCCAGGGAGATTAAGTCATTTGGCCAGGGTCACACAGCTATTGTCAGATGGAATTTGAACCCAGGTCCTCTGACTTCCGAGTCAGTATTCTTTCCATTGTGCCGTGCAGTTAAGACCGCTGAACAGAAGAAGCACTGAGCACACAGGTATAGACTTGAAGCCAGACTTGGAACAAGTGGATAGGGCTGAGATATAGACTGCAAGAGCAACCCCCCCAGGGATAATGACTAAAATGCTCTGTGAGAATGATGAGTATCGATTCCAAACTCTGTTAGAAATAAGATCTTCATGACTGGACAAGGCTTGACAGTTTTTAAAGCCTTCTGCTTCTCATTCTTTAGGGCTCACAGAGACCCTTAATCCATTTTCCATATTGCTATCCAAAAGTTGTC